GACTGTCTGAAGGACAGATAAAAGGAAAACTCAACTATATTAGCGAGCAAAAGCAGTCATCCATAACCAGTTATAAAAATCATAAATAGCAACAGCACCTGATTTTCTGATATGGCTTTTAACAGTGCATCTTTTTCCTTATATGCAGGCAGGCTTCTACGAAGTTCAAGCATCTTTTGACCTTCAGGAGATTCCTGTAGAAGACTAGATATTTTCAACATGGATGTATTTAAAAATCGACAAAGCTACTGTAAAGCTAGATGGAAATGAACAAGAACTCCATCTCAAAGTCAAACTATACCAAAGACACAGAAAAACAAAACCTTCACTTATGCAATGCATTGTCTACTACATATAAATAAGATAAATAATAAAATGCAAAAGGGCTGAACGTCCAGCTAGTATAACTGTGGCAAGAGGAAGGAAAAGAATAACCTGCCAATGTTGTTGCCTATTACGCAGTTGCAAGCTTTTCCGCAGAAGAATTTTCTCCATGGCATCACTATTCTGTATTGAGGGCTCCTCCTGCTCATAAGGTCCTCCATCATTAACCATACTTCCACTACTGCTTGATCTTGAAAAGGAAAATTCTGATAAATTTCCTGTCTTCATTGGCTTTTGAGATACATAGGCTTTGAGATGAGCATCTACTTCTCTATGCAGTCCAAAAGGTAAGACAACCTATACATGCTTCAAATAGTTTAGAACAATATATATTGGGTAGTAGATTATCTTCAACAATATGCACAAAGTCAATTTGGCTGAGAAATAGATGAAAGTACCTCTCTTTGTGGTCGCTTATCATCCAGATCAGGTCTGTAATTTGGCTGAGGGACTTTACTAAAGACTACAACTTTTGAATACTGACGGCTGCTTGAGAAAATTAAGAATCAGAAAACACACAAACATGGGCATAGAATAAAGAACATGTGAATAACTCGTGCACACACTAAACTGACGTACCTATATAAACCCATCCTATTTGCCAGTTCTGAAAGATGCTCAAAATCACGTCTGTCCTTTCTTTCCCTGGACACCACTTCTTGCTCATCTTTGTTGCGAAGATGCATGGTTAACTTCCATCTCCATTCATCAATGTTTTCAAGGGTCGAACCACCCTACAAACCATCAGCCAGAATCAAATAACCACCATATATATCTATGAAAGTTATATTTCTCTCACGTTAAATAAATAAAGCATATATTTAAAATCACAGAATTTACATTGAAAAAGAGTCGTGAGAAAATTAACAGGTTTCATCCTACTTTCAACTTCGTTGGCTGTTATTTCAAAGTCCTAAAACGAGTAAGATACTTTCAAACACATATACTGATACCAAAGTTCTAGCCTTTGTGCTTTTTGGCCAGCATCTTAGGAATATAATCACTTTTTTTTTTTTTTGGTAAAAGAATACAATTTCACTTTCATTAGCAGCTGCAGTGGATTTAGAATTAACAATCCCCCAATAATTACTAACTCAATCAAAGTCGCCAATGGCCATTCTAGCTTCAAAAATTGGAAGATGATGAGGTTAAAGAATTTTTCTTGCTCCTATAAACTTTCGTAGATGAAATTTTCCTTTCCAAGAGTAATCAAAAGTAGCTTAAAAAATTACTAAACCAAAACAGAGGCTAACTCAATCAAAGTGCTCAATTCAAGCAATCAAGTTTCTAAGAAAATGGGCATGGAAAAACTAACCGATTGGCGCTGAGAAGAACCCCTTTCGTAGTCGGAATCCTCACTAGCGGAGGCGTCTTGGTATGCAAACCGTCCATAACCCAAGTTCTGCTGGTACAAAAAGGGCACCGCCGTACTCCTCAGCTGCCTCTGCTTCCAATCAGCCTCCACGGCCCGCGACGAGGCCAGGCATGTGACTTCCCCCACTGGCCCCACGTGACGCGGCAGATAATAACACGCATTCCAATTCTGCGACCGGGCAAGGCAGTGGGTGTGGTAACGGCTGTTCCTCATGGTGCAACCGAAAAAAGACCGCCTTACTGAAGCTATGTGGTGGTGGCGGCGGTGGTTGTGGGTCCTACGCAAAGAGGCCAAAATGGGGGATGAGGCGGTGGTCGGTTTGAGAGACATGGCGGTTGTTCTTATTATATAGCCCTCAAAGAGGGCTGAGTAGGGCATGGCTCTCTCTGGGCGTGGGTGTATGTGTCTGTTGCGGCTGTGGGTTTTTTCAGTTGCAGCAGTTATGGAGCCATTTGCTGATATTAGGGTTTTGGACAGATGCAATGGATGTCTTGGTGTTGTTTTGGTTTGGGTTATGTTGGTTGGAGAGAAGTGGCGCTGAGAGCATTTACGTCATGACTCTGGTGCTGGACTCTGTTTTCTCATTTATCTATTAAAAGAAAATAGAGATAAAATTACAGTCTAGCCCAAATTTTTTTTTTTTTTAAAATCTAACCTATCCTTACTACTAGGGACTCACAGCTGTTCTCTCTCCTTGTTTAACCTAAAACCCCACTCTCTGCTTCTCACTCTAGGGTTTCCATACCATTTCAAAATTGGAACTTGGAAGCCTTTCGTCCATCCCTGCATCCATGGCTTCACCAGCAGTGATCTCCCAACCCCGGTCGTCCTCCAAGACCGAGTCTTATGTCGACAACAAGCGCAAGGAAGACATCCGCCAGGCCAACATCCTCGCCGCTCGAGCCGTGGCCGATGCCGTCCGGACCAGCCTGGGACCCAAGGGCATGGACAAGATGATCTCCACTGCCAACGGCGAGGTCATCATCACCAACGACGGCGCCACCATCCTCAACAAGATGGAGGTCCTCCAACCCGCCGCCAAGATGCTCGTCGAGCTCTCAAAGTCTCAAGACTCTGCCGCTGGTGACGGTACCACCACCGTCGTCGTCATTGCGGGCGCTCTCCTGAAACAGTGCCACATCCTTCTGTCCCACGGCGTCCACCCGACGGTCATCTCCGACTCTCTCCACAAGGCTGCCATTAGAGCCGTCGATGTCTTGACCGCCATGGCCGTCCCTGTCGAGCTCACAGACCGCGATTCGCTGGTCAAGTCCGCAAGCACATCGCTCAACAGCAAGGTAGTGAGCCAGTACTCGACTCTGCTCGCGCCGCTCGCCGTCGACGCGGTGCTCTCAGTGGTGGACCCCGCGAAGCCAGAGGTGGTGGACCTGAGGGATATCAGGATCGTGAAGAAGCTCGGAGGCACCGTCGACGATACGGAGACGGTGAAGGGACTTGTTTTCGATAAGAAGGCGAGTCACGCAGCTGGTGGGCCTACAAGAATGGAGAACGCGAAGATCGCTGTGATTCAATTCCAGATTTCGCCTCCCAAGACCGATATTGAACAGAGCATTGTTGTCTCCGACTATACACAGATGGATAGGATATTGAAGGAAGAAAGGAATTACATTCTGGGTATGATTAAGAAGATCAAGGCGACTGGGTGTAACGTCTTGCTGATTCAGAAGAGTATTCTGAGAGACGCAGTTACTGATTTGTCCTTGCATTATTTGGCGAAAGCGAAGATCTTGGTGATCAAGGACGTGGAGAGAGATGAGATCGAGTTCATCACCAAGACTCTGAATTGCTTGCCCATTGCTAACATTGAGCATTTCCGGGCAGAGAAATTGGGTTACGTTGATTTGGTTGAGGAGGTTTCGCTTGGTGATGGAAAGATTGTGAAGATTACAGGGATTCAGAACATGGGTCGGACCACTACCGTTCTGGTTCGTGGGTCGAACCAGTTGGTGCTGGATGAGGCGGAGCGGAGCCTGCACGATGCTTTGTGTGTGGTGAGGTGTTTGGTGAGCAAGAGGTTTTTGATTGCGGGTGGCGGTGCGCCGGAAATTGAGCTGTCGAGGCAGTTGGGTGCGTGGGCTAAGGTGCTGCAGGGGATGGAGGGTTATTGTGTGAAGTCGTTTGCAGAGGCGCTCGAGGTTGTTCCCTATACACTGGCTGAGAATGCGGGTTTGAATCCAATTGCGATTGTGACTGAGCTGAGGAACCGCCACGCACAGGGAGAAATCAACACTGGAATTAATGTGAGGAAGGGGCAGATTACCAACATCTTGGAGGAGAATGTGGTGCAGCCGCTGCTTGTGAGCACAAGTGCCATCACTCTGGCCACCGAGTGTGTGCGGATGATTTTGAAGATTGATGACATAGTTACAGTAAGATAGATTGGATGTTTGTTATTTCATCTGTGCTCTATTTCTTTTGAGGTGGATTTCTGTTCCGAATTTTGGTAATGGTACTGGATGTTTACTTTTGATTTGATCTTTGGGTGTTTATTAAGGGATGTTATGGAACTTACCTTTGTCCGTGCATCTAGTTAGTCATTATGTATTTCTTTTAACTCTGTCGTCTTAAGTTTGCATGCTAATAGAGAAGATGGTTATTTTGTATATCTTGGCTTCCATCACAAAAATTTAGACTCCATTCTATTGATAAACCTCTTCATTGAGCAATGCTAATCCTTTTTCCTGAAGTTCGATTTCATAATGCTGAAATGGGGTCTCTGTTCAGTTTTAGGAGGATCTATGTTTTGGTGATTTGTGTCCTTCGGATTTTGTTCATTCATTTCTTGTTAGGCTCAAAGGAAATTTGTGACAAGTTGTTGCATTTGATATAATCTTTATGCTTGAGTTTGCTTAGATATAATTCAAATGTTGAGAAGATATGGAGTTTGAGTTTCTCCAAATGAGTTGGGGAGTTGAGTTGATAGGGGTTAAAGATGAAGAAGAAGATACAGTTCATGTAGGCTCCCAAAAATCATCATGCATGTTTTACGATCTTGGGTGAGGGAGACTCTGAATTGCTTGCTCACTGCTAAGATTGATTGCGTGATCTTTCTTCCACCTCCGTCAATTGCCCAAGGGGGCGGACTCTGTTATGAATCATGCTTTAGGCTGCCTTTCTATGCATTTGCAGGAAACCTTAAGTATTTGCACAAATAATTTTAGAGAAAAAGTCTCATTGAATTTACATGTTGAGATGCTCAGGTTATCTGAAACCTGTGCTTACTGCATTTCATCCTCACTTTTACCCATGTGTGGTTAACTGTTTCGGGTTCTTTTGTTTTTGGTCAATAACATATCTCGTGTTCTAAGCATAAGCATGCCTATGACGATATAATGCAATTTCATAATCTTCTTTTATATCAGCTTCAAGAAGGGGCTTCTTCAATACTTCCCCTTGGTTAAACACACTGTTTTCTTCATTTTTACCCCCACAAAACTGAGTAGAGACCTAACATGATGAGAAGTGCGCCAATAATCCTGCAATGGAAGAAGGAAATGTTAGGAAGAAAACCAAGCAGTAATAGTTAAACATGTTGTGTCGCTTGTGATATTTGATTAGATTGGGACTTTTGTCGTACCCTCCAGAGTATAACTGATCACCAAGAACAAGAGTTGCCATGACAGCACCTAAGGTGGTCTGCAAGGGCAGGAAGACAGCAACAAACACAGGGCCACTATACTGGATACGCCATGTTTAGAGAGCAACAACAATCCCCGATTCCCAAAAACAAGGCAGATAGTCATAAATTGAGGTTCAAGAGAAATTCTTGTAGATCCAATATTTTGCATATGTAGTTATCTAACAAATGCTAGGAAAATTACAGCATATAGGGTTGTAAACAATTCTTCTCCAGATTGGATTTTCCAGTTCTCCAATTCAGTCTCTACGAAGACTGCGATCACCAGGAACTGAATCAATCCAAAGAAGCATGTGAATGAAGTGAGTGTGAGCTTCGCCGGATACATTTTCAACATGGGAGCCCGCAAAGTTTGAACATCACATTCCGGGTCATGAAAATGGTGATTGAAATGGCTGAGTTAGACATTCATAAGTTTGGTCAGAATAATCATGGGGTGAAAGATGATTTTCGACTGACCTGAAAGACCATCCAACTAGCCCATGCTACGCAGTGTCCAAGCAGGCAGATGCAACCCCATTTCCAGTTCTGCATGTCAGTGCTACTTGACATTTCTTCTGTTAGCGGCGTTCTTCCCTGAATTGGCTGTGTCTGGTTCAGAAGAGGGAGGCCTTGGTGAAGAGTAATAATAGTTGCACCCCCTAGAATTGCAATGGTTCCCATAACTTTAGCCAGCCCATCTTTCCTTGTGATGTTAATGCGCTCAAGTCTGAGAAAGAGAGAGAACTCAAGAGTAGAACTCTTTCCTCAACAAGAAACAAAAACAGAGGAAGAGGTGTGCAGAATAAAGAAAAGAAGATGAAAAACAAAGCCCTAAATACATACCTTAGAGCCAAAGCCATTAGAAAAGTAATTGCAGGAACCGAGTTTTGCATTGCAGATGCAAAAGTTGGAGACGCATAATACAGCCCCAAAAGGAAAAATCATTGGTTTGCAGTGATCCTGATACCACAAATGACGATTATAAAGACCATTCCATTTTTTATTAAAAGCAAGCAAATAAGCAAAGAAATAAGCAAAGGGACCCAACGAAAGCAGTGCAATGAGGATCCTATAAACTGGGTAAACAACTTTACTTACACCAATGTTCAATGCAACTCTAGAGACTATATGAAACCCTGCAAAGCAGAGCTGCAGAACAAGCAATGCAATTAGTTTATACCTCATTGTATGAACTGAAAATATATTTTGTTTTGCTCCACGAGAGGTGATGAGGTTTGGGAGACGAGGTGAAGGTAAAGCATGTTAGCCAGGTAATCAGAGAGTAGGCGACCAAAGTTCCCCTCCATTGGTCTCAGTCAGGTCTGAGCTTAATCCCATCATCTTCGAATACGGTTTGATATTCTCTATCAATCATAAGGCTTTTATTTATTTATTTACTTCCTCTAAAATTAAATTTCATATTAATGGCACTGTGAAAGAAGATTTTGTCTTTTTGGAAAATGGAATCTGCTGCCAAATAATGATAATGAGGAGAAATTCATAATTGGGTTAGGTTAGGTCGTTTGTCCAAAATCATAGTCTCGACTCAAGTCAGCTTTTTGTTAATAGGTTGGGTTGGGTTGTTGGACAAGAAGATGGAACAACACGATACAAAGAATCAATCAGAAATGGCATGTGAGTCCTTTTCATTATTAAGGAGTTGCAAAACCTAGACATTCAAAAGCAAGGAGAGGAGGGTGAAGGGGCAGTATTGTCTTTTCGCATTTCGTTCGTGCTTTCAATTGCTCAAATCCAGACGAGCTTGTAAATGTCTAACTTGGGCTGTGCTGGTTTTTCTTCGGTCACATTCTTAAAAGATGAACTTGAGACATGATATTGGAGCCGGTTCCGTTTGCAACTTGCAAGCATACAACATAAACTGGTCAGGTCCAGATTCAAATTTCTTGCATTGGACAAAGTTCCAGAATACCTGGTTGTGTTAGAGCAATACAATTTTAAAACATCTAGCAATATCTGCACCAAGAATCCAAGGCTGCATATATCAAGTTTTCAACAATTCAATGGTTACTTCATGACTGAGCAACTAACCAATGGTGGACGACATTTTGTTGAATTGGCGCCTAGAACTACTTGTGCCTGAACATGATTATGATTACAGTGCAGTTATCTTTACAGCGCCGTTCACGCACAGCTTCTTTTACAAGACGGCGGCTAATAGTTGAAACAGGTAGTCCCTCCTGCAAAAATAAAATCCAATCCTTCTAAGTAATTATGTGTCTTAAACAACAGATTAAGTTCAAGATACCTAAGAGGATATCTTGAAACAACACACAACCACCATAATTCACCTCTTGATTTACATTTGAATGTGAAGGGGTTTTTGTATTATGCATCAAATCCCACAAATTTTCAGCAACTAACAGAAACAGATATCTTCCCCATTTGACACGTTCATATAGGTAATTGAGGATCTGGTCATTTTGCCAAATAATGTTGTAGTTGATTGTTGAAGACAAACCATTTTACAAGGAGATAACAAAATCAGACCAAAACGAAAAAAGAAAGAGAAAAGAGAAACTTAACATGCTAGTTCAAAGAAACGTGATAAATTAATTATTTAAATGAAACCTAAAAGACAATGGACCTATTCAAATTCCATGGGATGTTGAAATGATCATTAAGAAAGAGACTATTTGCGCTTACCTTCAAAAGTTTTTGAACAAAAGCAACAGCATCACTTGGTCCAATTACCTGTAACAAATTTAGAAACATTGTACTGTTAGATAGACAATAAAATATCAGGAATAAGATCCAAAAGAAAAATGTAAATTAATATGAGGTCCGATTCAGACAAAGATTCTGTATTCTAGGCATATTCCAAGTCCAGGAGAAGTAAAGAAGGAAAACATACGCCCCAGAGGCCGTCACAACCAAGAATTATGAAGTGCTCTCTCTCTGTAAGGTCAAATGAATGAATATCTGGGGTTGCAACAACACCCACCTGCAATTTACAGACAAAACTATCAATTCGATAATCTCTTTGTAAAGTAGAGCAATATGGTTTTTTGTCCCCAAAGTAGTAGATTGATGGAAACATGTAACTACAGGGAAAAGCGTCTAAGAGAACAGAAAATAAAACCTTTTTGAAATGGCGATCTCCGAAAGCCCTAGAAACTTCAAGGCGCCCCTGTAGTCGTCCATTTGAACTCACATTACCACCAGCCTGAAGCACATTTCAAGCAGAAAGGAGCTCATAAGGTTTCAAGTGGATTCAGATAGAAGTAAATATACTAAAAGGTTACACATGGAATACAATGCAGCGGACACTAAAGCAATATACAAAGAATATCACCTTATTTCTTTTCTTCAGCTCTTGTTAATCACAGTTTAGCAAGTCCACATTAAAGTTAAACAAAGCATAATCCCCTAACAATTCAACTCAACAAAGTCTTAATCCCAAGTTTACTTATACACAGCACTTACCTTCTGAATACGAGCACGCTCTTGTGCATAGATAGCTTTGTGTTCTCTTGTTAAAACAATGGCCTTCAGATGACATGCTTCATCAGATCCATTCTTCAATCCCTCAGCAGGAGATGATCTTGCTACCACTGCTTTTGCATCCCCAATGTTAGCAACAAAAACCTAGAAACATCCAGTACCATTAGAACAGGATTTGTAAATTGCCATTGGCATGTCTTAGGAGCACCATAGTCATTCCACTTGGAAAGAAAATTGAATCATCACATCATCTAGTATTCTTCAAGAGAAGGCCTTAAGTTGCTCCTTTTTATTTTTTCAAATTTTCAAAAAGACAAGCAGTATCCTATCAAATAATCACGTAATTGCAAATTGTATCCTTAAATGATTTCAGATTACAGAACCAAGATCAAAGAATGCAACTCAGTGATGTTTAAAGCATCATACTACATACAGAAAACAGCTTACTAAAGGCGTTAATTATTCTATTTTAGAAACTCAATAACGTACTTAGTACTTACAGTTTTTCCTAATATCCAAACACATACAGCTGTAGCACCGTCCTGCCATCCCCCTGATGACAATTTAAAACCAACACATGAATCCTCAAGTAGATATTAGGAAAACATTAGTCCATAAAATGGTTCTCTACTTGCGAAAAAAATGGTAGACAGATAGATAGATAGATAAAAGATATGAGAAATAACTATTTGAGACGCAATATTCTAGTTCAATTAATCTAGGCGAAAGAAAGTTCAAATCAGAAATAGAGGATGAAGATTCACTCTGTACCTGCAGCACTTTCTTGAAGAAGAGACTCATCAGTTTTCCGAAAACCTAAATTAGGGAAAACAATATTCAAATAAATAAACCTAATAACAAAAAAAATCCACACTTGGATGAAATCACTATATGATAAAAATAAACAAACAAACAGACTTGCACAGTAATTTATACCATCAAGTATGGCTTTCTTGGCTGCTTTTACATCCAACTGCAATGCAAAGCATTAAAATACAATTATACTTCAAGGACAACAGTTTCCACGAAAGCAAAATGCCTAAATTTTCTTTTTCAACATATGTACTAATGTATATGGCGCAGATAGGTACATCATTCAATGATAGAGCCTTAATTTTCTTTTTCAAGCATCAGAAAAATTCTTTTCTACAAAATTTCATAATTGAAATCCAACTACCAACGCATTGACAAAACAATCCAACACGTACAGAAACTAACAAAGATGATTATGTCAATCTGCCATTAGGTCTAACTAACAAAGATGATTATGTCAATCTGCCATTAGGTCTAAACATATATGCAAAAATCAGACTAAGCAAACACACCAACTCACGTGGTAATCCGGCTGAAAGCACATTTGTATGTAAATGCTTCTGAGCATACTCTGCAGCTAATCGACCTCCATGCCCATCATAAATTGCAAAATGCGCACATCTGACCCAAAAAGAAGACACCAAGAAGTAACTAAATTGAACTTTTAAAGCTTGCCATATATAAGAACAACAAAGCATTAGAACCTCAATTTTCCCGGAAAATCCAAGCTTGCGTCCAAGAGCACAACCCAAGCGTCCTCCATGGCGTGCCGTAACCCCTTATCCTCGGCTGCATCAGCTTCAATCTTAAAACCCATTTCCCTCCCACCTGAATTTGGCTCATGGACCCCACTACCCTTGTTCCCTTCACCTAAATCAACTCCCGGGTCTTGCTTTTGTTCGGTTTTCAACTTCTTTGCAGCTGAAATAGAGTCCTCGGAATTGCTTTCACGCTTTTGCTTTTGCTTTGGCGCTGGTTCTACCTCTTTTGGGGTCTCGTTCTTGGGGGCTGAATTGGAGGTTTCAGTTTCACTCATTGTGGACTCAAAACAACTGGTCTTTATTTTCAAGAATCAAAAACACTAAAAGATATCTTGATAAGAAAAACAAGAAGGAAGAAGACTGTTTGGTTGCTGAGAAATTATTCCAATAAGGCTGCAACCTTTTTCACCAATTCACGATTCAAATGCTGGAGCGTCAAGAGCAATGGATGAAGCAAATTCGAGCGTCGAGCCTCCAATCAATTTACTCGTAAAGAATTTTAACGTTTTTCATTGTTTTTTAATGCAAGTTGGGTTGGGCTCAGTCCCGCAAACAAGTGCAAGTTGTGTTGGGCCGGATCTGCTTTCTATTTCACGCGAAGGGCATAGCGTCCAATCCACTCCATCCATTTTTCTCTTTTCAATTCAAAAAAAGAAAAAAATACAGCTTGAGTGAGTTGGAGTGTAAGACTGAACTCAGGAAACCCTAACTGCAACAGAACTAACCCACACCAAAATTTTACGTCCACTACAAGAAAACCCATTTCCAAATCCATCGAAGACTAGATTCCCATTTTACCCTCCGACTCTCACCACCAATGCTCCTTAGTACACTAATCGCCGGCTGATATTCCGACTCCACCTTCCACTCCGGCCATGTCGCTTGACGGCCGCCCCGGCGACCGCCGTGAAGTGCCCTCGCCGGTGACCGGGAACGGTGTCGTATTGGAGGACTCGAACCGGCCGGCGCTCGCACCCATGTCGAGCCAGAGGCTGAGGTTGATCCCAAACAAGGATCACAATCCGGATAACTACGATGACATGGAATTGGATTTCAGTTCCTCGATTTTCACCTCGCTCGAGCGGTTCCTGCCTCCGAGCATGCTCGGGATGCCTCGACACGATAAGGTTAAGTTCATGACGGAGATTCTGCTCAAGTACTTGCCTCACGGAGAGCGTAACAGAGTAAGTTTTATCCATTTTTTCGTGTTAAAGTGTGTTTCTTTTTTTCTTCATTCGGTGGTGGTCCATTTGGTTACTGAGAATTTCGTGGAAAAGGAAGCAACTTGAATATGCTCGCAATTTTTAATCTTATTGATCGAATTATTATCGTTATTTCTGCCTCTTGTGATTTGGGCATTTAATTAGGGTTTCGCTGAGGAACTGTCTTCTAACGGGCAAGTGATTTGGCATAAAATTACGGAAATGCCCTTAAGCCCTGCTTTTTGTATGTAGGAAGGTGGTGTGGCAATCATCATCATTTTCTTTCCTTGCCTCTTTTCCTTTTTACTTCTTTTTCCCTTATTAAAAAAAAAAAAAAGATTTTAAGTAAAAGAAAACAACGCAGAGAAAGTTCAGTGAACAGGTTGACATAATTTTTCGACCAAAAAAAAGAACAGGTTGACATGATTTACTACATAGTACACTATTCTAATTCGTGAAAAATCAAACAACTTATGTCGTTTGTGCTGCTATGTATCAGGTTCAGAAACATAGAGACTACAGGCAGAAGATTATATCAAATTATCAGGTACAGTATAACGCGTGGTTACTCTTGATTCAATCCTTTCAATTTGTGGGTAAAATGGTAACTCTCAGTTGGTTTATTTTATGTTCAGAGCTCATGGGTTGGTGAGTTGGTTTCTTTAGTTTTTATGTTTTTTTATCAGGCATAGTAACCCCTCAGTGTGCACACACTCCAGATCTGTACATATATATGTTGCATGATTCATGTGCTGCTTTTAATATAATTCAAGCTTTGGCCGTGCAATTGGGTTTTCCCACCAAATAAAAATTGTCCTTTTGAAGGAATAGGGACTTATAGAAGCTGAATGACATGTGTGCAGCCTTTACATAAAGAGTTATACAGTATGCACCCAGCAACCACCTTTGTGGGGCCATTTCTGAAAGCAGTTAGTGATAATACTGAGGAAAGCTTCAGAAGGATAATGTCTGAACCCTCGCCAGGGGTCTTTACATTTGAGATGTTTCAGCCACAGTTCTGTGAATTATTGTTGTCTGAGGTATACTGTCATTGTATATTACTTATCTGCCATTCTAGATTTGGCTTGGCTTACCATTGTTCGTTTCTTTTTATTTCTTTTATGTTTCTTTGGCTGCCTAGGTGGAGAATTTTGAAAAATGGGTTAATGAAGCCAAATTTAGAATCATGCGGCCAAATACAATGAATAAATACGGTGCTGTTCTTGATGATTTCGGCCTTGAAACCATGCTTGACAAGCTTATGGAAAATTTTATTCGTCCTATATCTAAAGGTGATGCATTGTTGTCCTCTGTAAATACTTTAATATTTGTGAATTCACAAGAAGGTATTTTCAGTGAGGTTGGCATGTAATTTGATTTAATCTGTTAGCTTAATCTTTGTTGCAGTGTTCTTTGCTGAAGTTGGTGGATCAACTCTGGATTCTCACCATGGTTTTGTTGTTGAATATGGTGAAGATAGGGATGCTGACTTGGGTTGGTATTTTGTTTAATTGATTTTAACTTTAAAATGTTATCCTTTTGTAGTTATATATGATGTTGTCAGTCCACATAGCCTCTGCTGTTGTGATAACTTATAGGTGCCCTCTAAAACTATAAAACTTGGCTCTAATCCACTGCACTATTGTGGTTATAGCAGTGATACTAGACACCTTTCCATAGCTCGAATGTGTATTTGATTAATATGCTGTTTTTAAAATGGTTGTATGGTGCTAGTTACACATTTATTGTACATACACGCCTTACCTTTGACAATACATTGAAAGTTTATGATGGTAGAATACCCTCAAATGATGTGCTATAAGTACTCTACCTTCCCTCTATTTCCTCTTCTGTCAAATGTAGATGCCTAAAATTAATTTCATATGTGTAGGTTTTCACGTGGACGACTCTGAAGTAACTTTGAATGTGTGCTTGGGTAAGCAATTTTCTGGAGGAGAATTGTTTTTTCGAGGCACGCGATGTGATAAACATGTAAATAGTGGAAGCCATTCAGAGGTATGTTAGTCATTAAGATGGAGAGAAAATTAATTTATACTTTGCGCAGGGTAGTGCAAACACTTTTTCAGTGTTTATTCGGTAGCACGTGTCCATTTTCGAATATAAGATCGCTAATGTTCTCTTTAATTAAAAGTTTTGAATATTATAATTTTCTATTGATTTGACGTACTGAAACCTGTGGGTGGTTGTAAACGTATTGATGGAGTATGTTATTTAAAAGCAGGAGATCTTTGATTATTCACATGTCCCAGGATGTGCTGTGCTTCATCGTGGCCGTCACCGGCATGGTGCTAGAGCAACGACATCAGGTCATCGCATCAATTTACTTCTATGGTGCAGAAGGTATTCTTTGGATTCTAATTTTTCACAATCAGTTATATATTTTGATAAACTTCCTGTATCTTACTTTATGGAATCTGTCTAGTAATGCACTTCAATTTTATGGGGCTGTTTGGTCCACTCTGTATTCTGGAACATTTGGATGGAGCGTAATAGGAGAATTTTTGAAGACTATAATGGAGTGGGAGTGAGTGAGCTTTGGGATAGAGTTAAGTACTGGGCAGCTTTGTGGGCGTCTGTTACAAAAGATTTTAAAGACTACTCTTATTCCACTATTATGAGGGATATGGCAGCTGCCTTTAACTGAGGGTTGGGGGGTGTGTTGTTCTGTGGTTTTTCGGTTTTGTTCCTCCCTGTTAGTTTGGGAGGGTTTGGTGCTGTTTTTTTTCTCTCTGTGTTTGTTTTTGTTTCTTCGGTGGTGGTTGCCTTATCCACCTCCGTGTTCTTTTGCTTAATAAATTTCGTTTCTTCTCAAAAAAAATCTGGGGGACTTCTTCCCACTCCTTCTGACAATTTTAATTGGATGTTTATGTTGTACTATGAACATTCATGTATGAGTTTTCTGTTTTTCGCATTCACCGTTCCCACCTTTCATGAAATCAGGAATATGACTTGGGAGATCTTTTCTCCCTGTTCTTTCCTTCCTAGATTATGCCTTATATTGGAACAAAAATTTTGAAGAAGGCATTCTCAGGTTACAAATTTTGAAGTGTGAGATGTTATTGGCAACAACACTAGTTACAAAGGAAATAAATGAGGTGCAATTTAATTGTTAGCTGATAAGAAACCCAGCATGGCGGACATGCTTAGAAGTTAAGAACAAAGAAGGATCTAAATGAACGCATCTTTGAAACTAGAGGAGGTGTTTCCTAATAGCAGTTGCAGGCATTTTAGAAGTTTGAATATGTCCTTTCCTACAACAGTTTCGTTTAAAATGGATATCATTACCACCAAATCAATCAGAAATGGAAATTTTTTGAAATCCTTCATTTTCCAATTGTTTTATGTTGCATTAGCATTGTGGTAGGATCCTATTTGTAATATTGAACTCAAGTGTAGGATTTGAAATACTTACATCTGCCATTACTCAAACTAAATTATCTCCTCACAGTTCTGTATTTAGAGAGATGAAGAAGTATCAGAAAGATTTCTCCAGCTGGTGTGGGGAATGCTTGCGTGAGAAGAAAGAGAGGCAACGCATGTCAATCAGAGCTACCAAAAGGGTAATGTATTACATAGATGCATGTACACAGTCACCGTATATGGGAAGTGAAGGATCAGATTTAACTAGCCAAGTCATTGTGACTCACACACACAAGCACATGCACAGACGGTGACAGAATATGATGCCTACCTAAGTCTTGCATAAATCAGTTAACATGTAAAGCATTTATATATAAGGAAGCTGCCTTCCTGTTATTGCAGCACACACATTCTCTATTTCTATAACAAAATGGACTTAGGTGAGTTGTTCCCCTGCAGGAGTTGCTCAGGAGGGAAGGTGAATCCACGGCATGATCTTTCTTCAGTGCTTATTTACGCCCTTGTGTTGTAAAATTATGTATTTTTAACCCTAGTCGTCCAATGACCAGAAGACTGGTCTACTCTTGATGAAACTGGAGGAAATGTGCTTCTGTGAATCATTGTGAATCATTGTAAGTCAGGACGTGCCTGCGTTTGTACATCGATTGTGTCAAGACATGATAACTTATCATCTTGAAGCATGCTTCATGCACGAAACTTATGTAAAAAGAATTATCTGAGTCCATTATAATTTACATTTATGGACATCTGAAAGTTTGTATCTAGTCTTAGGTAAATTTGTATTTTCATGATTGACAAATTTTTATTTTTTTGGATGCGATTCATGATTGACAATTGTTCTGTGTGTTTACCGGCTTATAT